GACATCAGCCGCATTATTGTAAAGCCAAATCTCATCACACAAAAAGGTCATTGCTAGCGCGCGATTCTTGAGTTCTTTGCAGTTGAAAATGCCCAAACGTAAGTCCCGTGACGTCAATAATGAACCCCCGAAAAGTGCCAAACTTGACGAATCTGATAAGGAAGGTCACAATGAAGTTTCAGATCTAATCGAATCGACATTCCTTTTAAAGTGTCCCCCTGATTTTTATGAATTTTACGCCTTTTGCTGTTCTGTTGCCCCTGATTCTCCTCTTGGTAGGTTTGAATAAAGAAATTATTTGTTTTCAGACGCACTATATGGAGATACCAATATCAGACTTGTGGGACCCTTCGAGGTTCTCCACGAACCCAAAAAATTCAAACCCGATGATGATCTAACTGGTTTTTATCGATATTTCCATGATCCTCCCGAAGTAGTCACTGTTCTAGCTGCAGATGGTGAAAATCCCTTTCATGTCGGGTACTTCAGGTGCGCTTAGTTTGTTTCTAATTACTTTTTTGTCCCAGGGATAATCACGCTGACCAGCCTGCTTTTCTAGTTTCGTCGAACCCATCCGAAACAGGAAAGCTCACAATCTCAAGTGAAAATATATTCACCACTGTCTTGTAAACTTGTTTTCTCTTACTAACTTTGATTTTAGAAATTTACTGAAGCATCCGAAAACGAAGGGTGGATCTATACCGATCATTTTGCCGAAATTGTCGGAGTTTGCGAAGAACAGACGGATTTGTATTGATTCAAAGGTGTCGGTTAAACGGAAGTGCACGTGTGAGACGTTAAACGGGGTGGGAGTTAAAATTAATTTGCAAAACGGTATTGGCTACCGACCCGTTCCTACTACCCATAGTAAGTTCTCGACAGTTCCACATAAAAAAATAACCATTTTGTAACTGATGTGATAGCGCAGGGTGATGTGTGTGGATGATTGCGGTTGTATTTTGTCTTCACCTTTATAAAGTTAGAAAGTGAAGAGGAATCGGCAAGTTGGTGTTTTCCATGTCGAGATTGGTTTCTACGACTGGTGCTGTGGCTTAACTTGCACAGACGGATTCCATCCAGTCGTCTATTCTTTTAAATTAAGCCTGACTAAACTTTCCCACCGTGTACTCATATGTGGATAAGTTAAGATGGCTGGATGGACGTAGGTGCTCCCTTCTTCTTGTTTCTCACCACGTGGTCATCTTGTTCCCAGCTCTATTTTCAAAGGGGAAGTTCAAAAGTATGTTAGACTGTTGGAGCATGATGAGAACCGAAGAATTGCATGGATAGCGAGATGACGGAATGAGTGAGTCTATGATTGATGGATGAATCGGTAACGAATAGGTGAGCGAAGTCCAGATGGCCGTGTGGTGCGTGAATGGGCGGATGAATTGGAAATTCAAAAAATGGGTGAAGGGACTTCGAGCGGCCTAACGGATCTAGACTAAATCGATGGGTTTGAGATGAATTGGTGGGTCTCGAAAGTGTGGATAGAAAATAGAACATTTGCTTTTTCTTTTGGCTGTTAGAGGAGCTCGTCACAATTCTTCAAACCCTGACTGACACAACAAACGCAAACACCTCCAAATTGGACGAATTGATGACTCTCGTTCAATTTGCCAACGATGAGGGTGATTTCGGTGAAGGTCTGGAGTTGGGCCTGGACCTACTGGCCTTTCATCCTGCTGCTGCTTCCACATCGGAGACATTTGAGAAGGCAAACCGTCTCAATCGGCGGATCACATGCCTTCTTTCCACTGGGTACCAACTGGCTGGACAACCAAAATTCGCGCAGGTTGTGAGACGACACATGGAGAATCGATTAAAGACGAGAAGACTGCGAGAGGTTGAGTAGGATCCTCTATTTTCATAAAGTAAATGCATTGATTTTTTTATGTATTTTGGCGGAGTCTGGTCAATGAATGGATAAGTGGAAGTTCGGGTTTTCGGTAGTTAAATGGTAGTTGCGTAGATGAGTGGATCCCCAAAAGTCGCATGTAATCGGATTTAATTGCTTAAACGTCAATATCATTTGTGAGGGGAAACGGAGATGGGCAGATTCGTAGGGGCAGAATGGATGATGACAAGTCGGCCTCGATGCGTTTAAAAGGTCCTTTATCGGATGCAAGCAGTGTTCACGTGTGATCTGGAAGCACGACAATCAGCTGTTCAAAAATCTGTGCAATGATGATTGATATTCAGCCAGTCAGCTGATTACCTGTGATACACTTCTCCATACAAGAAAATCGATAGAACTTCTGGCGGCTGAATGATCAGAGCTTGTGCGGATGGCGATCGATGAAGAAGTCAGCTGATCACTTAAGGAAGCAGACCAATAAACTCGCTCCGCATGTTCCAACTGTGTGATCGCCTGATTAAGTAGGCTTTTCATTAGTCGCAAGTATGTGGTTATTTTTAACAATCTAAACAAACCTTGAGTGCTATAATAAGTGGGAAAATACATGTGTATATATATGCCTTTCTTTAATTCGGATGACTAGAAGCAACTATATTTCGTGGGATTTAAAATACTAATCTTAACGTTACTAACTAGATATCAGTAGAACACTTCTGAACAGGATTAAAGCTATTCAACCCAAACATAAAGTGTTCCTTGTTACTTCATGTTTTTGACCAATTCTTCCTTCATTTTCGGCTAATTAAGTGCGGAAAATTGTTTTCCCATCTCTTGTCTCGATCGAATGGACCACTTTGCAAAACGGCTCTGTTTCTGTTGACTTAACAGGATATAATTCGCAGAAAACGGCAATTTTGCACACTGCTCGTAATTCAAAAGCATAGTAAAAAAAGAAGGGAGTACATGCGTAAAGGATGCCTTATTACCATACAAATGTACCAATTGATGCACATCCCACCCGTGCCTATACGTCTCTACAAGGGATACAGCTGGTAGCCTCACGTTAATGACCCTTATGCTGTCACATGAGTTAGAGCGCCATGAGTTAACTCCACATTGATATTTGGGAAACCGATGCGGTGGTCCTCAATGTTTAAATTCACTAGCAGACGACTCAATGCCATATCTCCTCACAGATGTAATTGTGCTTCTGGAGCACGTCTCATTGATGTTGATAAAATAAGCTAAATGGTACAAAGCGTTAGGTGCGCAATGAAATGATTGGATTAGTGCTTTGCTACCTTACATTCGTTTCCATCACCCAGTCGATCAAACGAACTCTCTTTGCATACCACGAAATTTGTATTATTTCTTTCATTATGTGCAACTAACTCATTCGCTGCCAAGGTATTCGTGGAAGATTAACTGATGATAAAAACAAGTAAGTGTAAATGCATTTAGATCAGAAATACTCCACATGTAGTTTATTGCTTTACTACACATGATTCAATGCAAATGGAATAGGGGAATACGTCACGTTTGTGTTGCTGAGAGTAAACGTGTTAATCAGATTCATCTTTTCGCTTCACGTAAAATTACTTTGCGTTGCCAATAATTGAAGCAATTCATATTTGGGTACTTCAGGCTCCAATACAAGACAACCAGACTCTCCGATTTGTCTTGCTCGAATCTCCGTAAACGAAAGTCATGACGAATTCTGCTCTTTCACACTTGTCGAACATTCTCATTTGCCACTGTCCCTTATAAGTGAGCATAACAAAATTTGGAATTTGTATAGATCAATGCAAGTAAGAATGCCTGTTTTTTTTCTTAAAAATAGACAAGCATATTGCATGTAGCTTCGCATTTTCAGGGAACCGAAAACCTGGTTGATCACATGACCACGCAGTTTGGACACGCGGCAGAGGTTCATTGGTTTTCCTCCTCAAGTAGAGAGGTTTGTTACTGGTAATCAGCTGACTGCCTGACTAAATATTGATTGCTACACAGATGATGAAACAGCTGATTCTCATGTGTGGCGCTCAATACAATGAAATGTATGTTTTGACAACTCTCAGTAGCAAAATCTTTTCTCAAAATAATAATTTAATTGTTCTCTTAAAATGGATTTTGGGCAATAGATGAAGCCTGTAAAACCGCTTTAGTTTATTAGAATTGGAGTACAATTTACATACCTAAGTAAATTTAAGTTCAATTCAATTTGCTAACCGAAATTTGGATAGGAATTGATCAATTTAGCTTAAGCCAGCATAAATTTAGTCGAGGCCACGGCTTCGCCGCATACATGAATAACCCACGAGGGCAGCAGCATTGCGGCCATTTATGCTGTTATGAAGCGATTTGGTACAGTCGAAAGGGTAGAGACGACACTAGACTCGAAGCAACCACCCTAATACTCTGTCATTCGTATCTCAGTTCTGTTTTTCTGGCATGATGTGGGAGGGTTCACAAATTGATTGCTCTTATGCTAGGTGTTTCATCCTCTCTTTGGTCAGGCTTTGTAGGGATACTATGGTTAGTCTCTCCACTACCTCCTGGTGCTGCCGACGCGATTCGAATGCGCAAACAATTCCCTAAGTCGTTTAAACAATACGAGTCTTTTGGGTGAAATTTTCTAGCAAATATTGATTGAAGGATGTGGGATTCTTAACTTGGAATGATCATCCTTCCAAATATTCATTGTATCAAAAGGAGACGCTATTAGGTGGATTGTTTATAGCAAGCAAAGTAAATATGTCGAAAACCGAAAGCGTATGTAGGACAAAAACACAAGATCATCTTCATGAGTGAGAGCTGGGCAGTGAAGAAAGCTATTTGCTTTCTCACCACCAAATAGCACGGTCGCTTCACTGCCCACTTCCCTCAGACACCTCCTCCCCCTCATCTGCATTGTGGAACAAATGCCACCAGGCGACCAAGATTTCACCGGCTATCACGTCCCCTGCATTGAGCCGTAACATTCGGATGAGGAAGCTGCCGTCGCATCCAACCACACTTTTAAGGAATACTTCCATCTGTTTTGCCCTCAAAGCAACCGATTGAGGTGCGTGTGAATCTCCCTGTCCTTCGTTGTCTGGAAGTGGAGACGAGGCTAGGAGGGAGATTTCGAGAAAAGACCTCAGAAATGCTTTATTGTGCGACCGCGATAGCAATCGTAGCGTCCACATCACTGCTGTGAAAAGAGAGAGTGCTAGAACAGCAATGATCCACACCCAGAGGAAGAGGTAAATCTTCTGGTTCAACATGTTTACGGGGAGAGCACAGATTGCGGTGTAGAGCTGTGATCGAATACCCAGATTGGGAACGCGAATTGGGCAGAGAGTTTGGAGTGGGAAGATGTCACTTCCTCCCCATTCCTGTCGACTGGTTGTTAAGTTGAAGAGACGTTGACTGAAGGTGAGTGGACTACTTTGGCTGGCGTTATCAGGTCCTAGGAACCGCATCACGAGGAAGAGCTGTCCCAAGCAGTTGACGATGTAGAGGAATTTCACGAAGAGATATAGAACTGCTGTGCGGTTGCCCAAACGCTTTCCAAACACACAGAGGCTTGCGCATTGAGTAAAGGAGAGGACATTGTGCTGGAGTCGAGACAACCTGGATTGTCGAGTGTCTGTGTGTTGTCGTGAAAGGAGGTGGAGGTGATCGGCGCATGTGTGTACCAACTTGGACCTTGTGTCCAAGTCGTCACATGTTGTGGCAGTTTGCGCACGTGTGATGAGAGAGTTGAGATTGTCACCGAGAGTGTAGACAGACAGGGATTGCCAAATGAGATGTGGCAGATAGAAGAGGATTGCTTGAATGGAAAGGCAGAAGGGTACCCACTGGTAGAAGGCTAAAGGAGACGTAAACGAAGAGAGGATTGTAAATTGCTGTGAGGATGGGGAATGGAGAGCAAAGCTTACAGATATCAGCCCTGTGTCGAAGTTCGTCCCATTCCGTTTCGTTGGTGGGAAGTTTGTCGTCTTTATTGAGACCGATGGTACCCTGGACCCAGCAGACTGACTCGGCATAGCTTCCAAATCCACTGGAGGGTGCAGAGGGAGTGGTGCAGGAGATGGGTCGTAGAAAGTAGACATTGGTCATGGTGATACTAACGAGAATGAGAAGTATGATGGTGGTGTAGAAACTGTTCAATCGATCACTGAAATCTTCAAGGGTTGAGAAGTCATTGCCCTTGGATCCGTGGCGTTT